AGAGCTGTGGTCTCCACCTCCAACTCCACTCACCCCTCTGCTACTTGCTGCAGCTCAAGCACACCAGCTCACCCATGACTCTTCTTAAACACTGTAGAGCTACTCTAAATTGCACAATGGCAATCTGTAATACTGAAGTAATTCAGCTATACATGTCCAAACCAAAACTGATGTGAGTAGAAATAATGACACAGAGAGCTCCACCCTGCCAGCTGACAGGATCGATTGCTTATGTTTGTTACGTATATATTCTGAATCCATGTTTTTGAGATTATCATCAGTACCCTGCAGCTTTAAGGTGGAAAGTCTTGGCGTTGACCACATACTTTGCTCATGGCGTGTCTTTCAGCACCTAAAGCACATGATATAAACCAGTTAACAAGGTTCAAACTGATTGACTTTACAACGTACTAACTGAACCCAAACTGCTGATCTGACTTGACTCACCTCCACCGTTACCTACGTCTGCTACCTGAAACTCAGATGTGAACTGTGTGCAGTTCAGGGCCACACTCAATGTGAGCCAACAAGTGAAGAGTTCAGTTGATTTTCAAGCTAATATTTATGACATGAGTTCAACAAAATCACACGAGCATTTTTCCCACAAGCTTGTCAAATGGAAAACACACTCTGTCTTCCAGAATAATGAAGATGAAAGCAAACATTAGAGACCTGAGCTGTTCAGTCCATTCAGTCTATAACCTGTCAGAGATCTAAACCCAGTGTTAAAGAGGCCTGAACCCAACAGGACAGATGATCCTCTAAACTCAGGAACTGGCAGGAACACAGACTTAATTTTCTTTTGTTTCCTCACAATAAAAAGATTTGTCCAGGTCAGTCTTGCTTAAGTCTCTTAAACTTCCATGAATGATGCTCACACTCACTTATTTTCTTGCAAACAAATCATCGACTGTTCACTGAAAAGACCATATTAGGCCAGTGTTTTACTTTGTATCTGCAAGGGTCTGTGTGGCATAAACATCTCCCTAAGAACACATGTGGACCCCTCTTCTGTCTGCATGCAGCCCAAATGTCTGTCTGTGCCACGAAGGTAAAAGCTACAAGTATGCATATACAGACTAGCACGGCGGAACATTCTGGTTTCGAATGGAGCTGTGGTTTAAAGCCTGCTGGAGGAGTCTGGAGACTGGAGGATGAGTCTCAGTGTTGAGACTGTAAGCAGCAGGGTAGTAGGTCACCACACTCAGACAGGGAGAAAGAGAGGCACAGCCAGGACCATGACGCCATGTCCAATGTATACATTCTTTCAGCGCGCTAACACAACACAAACGCAACTTCACATTAAACTGTTAACTTGACGTAATGCAGACTAAACACAGTTGTCCTTTATTGTCAAGATATGTGAAATGCACAAGAAGTGCAGGTAATTAAGAACTGCGGGAACATGCACCATAAAATGCGGCACTGCCTGATCTCTCCTTTCATGTCTCAGCTCGCTGTGAGAGAGAAGGTCAGCCTGTGTCAGCAGGAGCAGCTGTTGCGGAGTTGCTGGAGCGCTTTGGACTCAAATGAGCTCCGTTATAGAGCAAGAGGCCGAGCGCTTGGTGACCAGCTGGCCACCACGCAACAGGAATTGCAATGAGCTGGTCAGGCCATGAGGGGCCACACCAGATGTTCAGCATGTTGTTGACTGACTCTCTGCTGTCCACCCTCAGGGTCTTTCTCTCTCACACTCTCTCACTCTGTGGGTCTCTCTCTCTCTGTTCCTTTGTGACATTAAAAAAGATCACCACTCCTGACAGACAAATGCAATGCAAGTCAAGGACAGAGACGTTACTCTCCAAACGCTAACAGACATAGAATAAGTCAATTCTGAGTTTAGCTCTGTATTTGAATGTGATCCAGTGCAACAGCTTTGCCATAAATGGATTCTGTATCAAAGAAGTTCCTGTTGTTTCTAAGAATCTGTTGAAGCGTCTCAAACTGACAGCTTAAAACTCTTTTCTAACCTCAGGAGTAAATCTTCTGATTGCTCGTTTTGTTCGATCAGCAGTCCATACTCCACAGATATTGAATTTATAAAGCAAAGAATCCTCAAATTTGAGAGGCTGGAGTCAGAAAAGGCTTTTGTGTTGTGCCAGTTTGGCTCAATTAAGATGATTGATTGATCAGTTATCACAATTGTTGGTGAGTAATTTTCTGTTGATTGACAAATTAACATCTCATTTCAGCGCTTACTCGGATTAAAGCTATTTATGATGTTTTGTAGACCCCCATACTTTATGGGAGAGGCTCCAAATGGACACCAAAAAATTCTTCTGCAGTTACCAGGAGGTACATGGGAAGACTGTCGAGAAGCTCGACTAATTTTTAAAGAATATTGCAGTATCATTGGGCTTTGCTATGCCTATCTATACAGCTGTAACAACTGAATAAATGGTGTGATTAAAAAGTGCGTGAAAATGAATTGAGTGGAAAAGTTCAAACGCCTTCAAGTTGCGGATGAATGGTTGTTGGCTAAAAGCGATGTGTTACTGGATGTTGCTGCATGACAGGCGGTGTTGATGAAGCGGTGGCTTACTTGAGTTCATCTGACAGAGCTGTGGGAGTGCATCAGACAAATGTTCAGTGCATGGCTTGACACAGCTATTCGTCACATCTAATGGTCTGTTATCACGCGCACACTGCAGGATGGTTACCTAAGGAACCATTTCAGAATGTGTATCCAATAGAGGAACAAGGGTCTGAAGGTTTTTCTATTTCCACAGTGCCTGGGTGCCAAAAAATGTGGACTCCAACTTTTAACATCTTCACAAACAAATGTGATCTATTGCCAAACTGAAACTTAATTTATCGTTCAAAGACATAATCAGCATGAATTCACAGTTGGACTACTACCTCTTTGTCAATGGGGTTGATGCAGTCACTCAGTATAGCTGCCGGATTTTAACTCATGTGCAAAAAAGTCAGCATGTCTCTTCACTTGTAGCTCATTGCATTCATTGTCAGTGAAATCCTAGTTTTTAAAGGCCTAAATCAGGGGTGGGCAATCCTGGTCCTCGAGGGCCGCTATCCTGCATGTTTTAGATGTTTCCTTCTTCCAACACACCTGATTCAAATGATCAGGATGGTCATCAGGCTTCTGCAGAGCTTGATGATGAGCTGATCATTTGAATCAGGTGTGTTGGAAGAGGGACACATCTAAAACATGCAGGACTGTGGCCCTCGAGGACCAGGATTGCCCGCCCCTGGCCTAAATGGTTTACCTCCACAGTACATTACCAGTGTGTTAGCTCTGTTGCCTGCCCCAGATCACTTAGGTCACCTTTTCAGTCCCCAAACCAAACAGGTTTTGTTGGTTAATGCACTCAGATTCTGGAACAGTCTTCCCTTTCACATTAAATCCTGTCCCACTATTAACTATTTACAAACACAATTAAAGCCTAACCCCCCCCCCCTCCGGCCTGATTTCAATCTGATGAATCTTTTGTTTTACTGTTTTTTTTTTATAGCTCTGTTTCTTTTTAATCGAGCCAGTATGCTTGACCCGAGCTATCCTGATCATAGGAGGTTCATTTATATTATATATAATATTGTTGGGTCTTAAGTGTAACATCTAAGTGATTCAGGTACATTTACATAATAAATAACACTGGAGGGTGTTAACCTTGATATTTCAACTTGTTAGGTGAAACTGTAACATTAAGCACTTTGGCTCAAAGGCTGTTGTTTCAAACGTGCTGAATAAATAACGTGACATGACTGAGTATGGCTCGACTTGACAAACAGCTCTCTGTACATTCATTACTCAGGGAGGAATAGATGGACGGAGTTCTGAGAACTTTTCTGGGTAAAATAATGATCACACAATTTAACATCATCTTATGTGTGTAGGCTGGAAAACACTTCATTTCAAAAGAATCAGTTTGAAATCAAACATGCTCTTGCTCGTCCTGTTTGTGCAGCTCTTGTGCTCCGCTGCGTCCTCAGCTCCTGCAGCCGTCCGTCCGTCGGTCCGTCGGTCCCGTTGCTTCCTGAGGACTCGGTGTGCGCGGGAAATCTCCAGCGGTGCTTTCACAGTCATGCCCTCGTACTGTTTCCGCCGGGATGCATTGGATCTGCTGCTGCTGATGTTCCACAGCAGAGAGAGGCAGCGTCCTTCTGCGCATGCGTCTGCAGGCGGGTTCTCAGTGCTGATGTCGCATTCAGATACTCCACATAAGCTCGTACATCCCAAACTGATGGCTTAACCGGGGGTTTGTCCAATATTTATGCATGATAATAAAATCCTCCTGCACACCTTAGTTTCTTTTCAAACACTAAGCAGCGTGTCGTAAAATAATCATCCTCAGAATCTTCATACTACTGCACAACATGGTGTGTTCAGTGTCATTAGGATATTTCACACAGTGGCTCCACATAGACAGCATTACTGAGGATCCCTGAGCGTATTTTCTCTATTATTGAGAGTTTTCTTACCTTTCTAAAAAGTAGCTTTGATGCAGTTGTTTCAATACTGTTGCTTTTTATAACATATTAACACAAAAAGCAACCCAAGCCTGTGTGGGCTGGACCTCCATCTGCTGTGTCTTGTTTATGATGTGTTTTTGCTGTGCAGTGTGTTAGACTAATGCATGTCACCTAACCACACGTTTACACTCAAAACAAAGGAGGGAAAAAGAAGCTAGCTTTTGCTAGTATGACATACAACAAACAAGCAAACAACAACAAAATAAAAAAAGCAAATTGGCATCTCTCATGGCAGATCATGAAATAATGCAGTTGAAAGCTGAAAATTAAAATGGCTACTGAAATCAGATCTGTGTTGTCAAGGCTAAGAATGAACAAACAGGTACAATAAGTTTAAAAATAAATTATGTAAAAACAGAACATTTTAACGAAAGAAACGACGTATTTAAATTAATAGTTGAAATATATTTATTTATTACTTATAATTATCAACAAAAACAATGATATATTAATTTTATTTAAACTGTATAACAAAAAATGTTTAATAACAATTAAAATAACAATATAAAATATAATGTAAATAAATATCGTATTATAAAAACTTTAATAAGGTAATCTGACATTTGTAAATATGAATAAAAGTCCAGTGAAGACGAATAAAGAACACATTTTGTGGCTGGACAGACTGGAGATCACAGGTCCTGAAAGTCCCCGACGGCACCTGAAGGCAGCACAACACATCCACACCGTCCCCGCTGTCCAAGGCGCACACAGCCGCTACCTGCCAGGCGGAATGGACGTCTCCTCCGGTGCCCCCAGCTTCTTCCTCTGCCCCACGGAGCCGCGAGAGAAGCCAGGCCCGACATGACAGCGCCGGGACGGGAGAAGAAAGCCCGCCAGCAGCCGCGGCTGACTGTCCGGCTGGAGGCGGTGTGGGCTGCGGGTCGCTACGCCGCGCTGGTCGCCCTGTGCGCCCTGTGCTACAGCAACTCTGTCCGCGGGGAGTTGGTGCACGACGACGTGTGGGCGATCATCAACAACCCGGACGTCCGACCGGGCTCCAGCCTCAGAAACATCTTCAGCAACGACTTCTGGGGGAAGAGGATGGCGGACAACACGAGCCACAAGTCCTACCGACCGCTCTGCATCCTCACCTTCAAGTAAGTTCTCCCAACTCCGCTGAGTGCGCCTCACCTGGGGCTCCGGACCGGGCACCGGGCTCTGCTGTGGCCGGCGGTGACCCGGAGGAGAACCGCGGGGAGCTGAGGCACGCAGCGGGGCTGACGTCATGCAGCCTCCTGCTCAACTTCAGCGCCACAAGCTGAGCTCCTGGGCTGCTCCGATCCACACAGACCCTCCTGATGAGATAGCAGCGCTGTGAACTCCGTGTAGAGCCGCTCCAAGTTCCCATTAGAGCCCCACAGACCGCCGCCTCCCACCGGGGAGGCTGTCACCGAGGGCTGGAGCAGCCTGTCCCAGCACAGTCCTGCCCTCATGCCCACACCACGTACACGGTGTAAAGGAGTTCAGATAAAGCCGAAACGAAAATAATAATAATAATAATAATAAAAAAGAATCACGCACACTCAGACAGAACAACCTGTTGCGCAGCTTTGTCTGAAGCCCTTCAGCGGTGAGCAGCGTGGGAGGATGGAGAAGTTGTGGAGGCAGCGCTCCGGAGGGGCTGGTCCTCCTGGAAGGAGCAAACCGGGCGAGCGTCCAGAGCAGGGTGGGAATGTTTTATACATGGTTGTGTGGTGCAGAAGGAGAAGAAGGCAGCCCACACGGTGTTCTCAGAAACGAGGGAAAATGTCCAAACTGAGGCTTGTTTATTACAAAGATGGATTGTGGAAGCCAGGAGAACAGATCCAAGGAGAGTCTGCTCCTGCAAGAGTCGCTCTTTTTTTTTTATTTTAATTAGAACTAGTCTCATAGTGTAGTGGAGGATGTAGTTTTGGAGTGTAGTGCCATATTACTGAGCTCTTTCTGTTTTTAGAAACTTGTGAAATGTCCTTGGTGTCCACAGTTACAGTGCTGAATCCAATAGTTACCAATGAGTGGAGCTCTGCTTGTATTTCACATAAACACATGTAGGACTGAGCAATGGTCAGTATTGATAATTACTGATCAGATTTCATTATCTGTCTTCAAAATTTTGAATTGAACCATCTCACTTTGAATTTAACTATTGAGCTTACCTGTCAAGGTACACAGGTAATAATCTTGATGTTAACCAATCAGAAACACACACATGCATGCACAAATATAATATAAAATGGGATTTAAAAAAAGACCTGGCCTTGATACACACTAAGTAAAGAGAGCAGGTAGGGGGGTGAAGCCACCACACTGCGCTGAGGTTAAGGTTCCTAGTGGCTGGCCTGGCCGGTCTTATTGGACGGTAACCCCACACTGGCCTCAGTGTCCGTCCTGTCAGTACGTTAAGCAGGCTGCCTGGAGCGTTGAGTTAAGATGGAGGTGGTGGGAGATGCAGGGTGGTGGGCGTTTTAAACTTGGAAGGTGATTATGTGTAGGCAGCTACCGACTGTAGTGTCCACCAGGAGAGGTCTGTGGGTGCATGTAGCCGGGATGAGAGGGACAAGCAGCTGCTGATGAGCACGCCTTGGGAGACCTGCATGGAAGTCATGGGGAGAGCAGTGGAGCGCAAAGGAGCTCCGTTATCAAGGGATCTGATCGGCTGTTTATGAATGAGGGAGGGAGGGAGGGAGCACGCTTGGAGTTCATGAAACTGAACTTTTTGGATGTATGCTTTCATGGCAGTTTGCAGCTGATGCATGTACATGAAACTCCTGAACATTCTGTCACGCTGTTTCTCACTGCTCATGGTTACGTGTGATAGATCTTTGTAATACTGTAGCTAAAATCTTAAGTAAATGAGCCATTTGGACGCCTTATGTCACCTTGTTTAAGCTAAGTTTTGGTTGCATACGTGTGTGAGCTGCTGTGCTGCAGTCACCTCTCTGCTCGTAGCCTGGGCCATCTCTGAAACGTTCATAGTTGTGTCTGTCTATAAGCAGATGTTCAGCAAGTGAGGCATTATGGGTACAACTGAATATAAATTTGACCTCACTGGATGCACTGGATTGAAGTAAAGATAATTTTAAATCTGACTTTGATGCAGATTTGTGTTGATGCAGGAGTGTAGCACAGCATGGAGGTGAAGGCAGTGCTCTGTTCATTTACATGTGAAACTGCACAAAGAGTATTTTGTCTGTAAAATCAGTGAATAATTGTGATGAACAGGGTAGTTAGCATCTCGATATTGATCCTAATAGTCATGATTGTCATTTTGGTTGTAATTCTGCAGCCTGAGGCGGTTTTATTGAAATACTTCTGCTTCATAAAGGATGATATTGACTACAAACAGCGGTCAGCAGTGTCTTGCAGTTGTTGCCACCACATGAGTCAACATGACTAATTAGCCGGACCATTTAAATCAGTCACACAGAGCTCTGGATCTTCAGAGTAAAAATAACTTTTGTAGGTTTCTGAAATGATTGTTATTTTTCTCCTCTTCAAAATCATCCCTATCATTTCATAATGTCTCATTTTCCCCAATATTCAAGTCATCTGGTGAACATGTCGATATTTTTTTAATACATCAATTCATATTGAAGAAAAACAAAATGTCACAAAATGTCTCCAATATCGTGCAGCTCTACTAAAAGTAGATTGAATATCAGATGCACACATCAGGTATCCAGACACCTGACAACAGAGTGGATCTAATAATGATGGATAACAAAGAGTGTCAGCAACAGTAACAATAGTGTTACGTCCAGCCCTCTGTCAGACCACCATGTCTCATTTTATATGTAGTTTTTTGTCTGGCTCAGACAAGCAGGATGTATTATGTTTATTAGTGAGCGTCCGTGGTGTGAATAGAGAAGTGCCTCTGACTGGTTTTGTGCTCATGTATGTGCTGCTGTGCATGTATCCAGTGATGGAACTGTTTCCTGTAGGTCTGCTCAGTGACGGGACTCGTTGAGCCGAGCTGAATGAAGTGATTCCTGTCATCCAAGTGATTCATGATTTCCACCTCTATTGATACCAAGAACACTACATCGTGGGCCAGCAGGCCGTTTGGTTCTGGAAGCAGTTTTCCTTGCGGCAGGAATTGGAAACCCAGACATTATGTGTGGTGGCATGTGACTGGCTGCTGTGGTGACAGACAGTGTGTGCCCCCAGGCAGAGCTCTGTCCACACGCCGTGCACTTAAGATGAGTAAAACTGAAGGTCCTTTGGTGTGAGAGTGTGTGGCTTGATGTGTGTGTGGTCAGACAGCAGGATGGTTTCATTGTTTGATGACACTCAGTCTAATTATCCAACAGCGTTACAACTTCTCAAGCAGCTGCTTGCTAGTCTTCCCTCTGGTAATACAGTTGTTGAAGAAGATATTGCTGGCTTATTGCTTCTCCTGAGAGCAGACAGTGTGGCTTACGGCTTCCAGAAGCATCTGCTCTCAGAAACACACAAACCGCACTTAATGATGAGTGTGTGCTGGAGATAGCGGAGCCACGGTAATGGTCAGAGACAATGAAGGGGAAGGTAATCGTTCAGGAGTGGCAGGTGTTGCCTTATTGCCCACATGGGGAGGGTGCTCGCTGCTGTGGCTGCAGCTTCCCCGGCTGTTCGACTGTCAGCTCCTTCACATTCCCTTCATCAGCTTGTCATGTGAAGGACGCCTGTTCAGGACCTCCAGACATTCCTGGATGGAGAATAAATGTGCACATCGACTGTTTTCCTTCGTGGAGAACTTTAGCGTTTAGCCTCAGTCCATAACCGTCATCTGCTGTGTGCATGTGGAAAAGGTGTCGACAGGATTCAGGAAACATGCTGCTGCATGAAATGATGCGTTCGTTGGGGTGTAAAACTGATTTCTATTAAACATGTCGGCTGAATTTCATAGTTTTTTACACCTGGGGAATTCTCTATTTTGAATGGAAACGAATTCTCGTGCCATTTGGACATTTTGAAATAGCAAAGAAATGGGACCTTGAGTTTCCAGACTGCAACACTTCACATTCTACTGAAGTTAAAGGCCTCAAAAGATGCTGCTGTATTTTTGTGGACACATCATATATATACGACTGCATCACAAAAAATTACATTGTGAAAAAGTTCCATATTTCATTTTGAGTTCAGGTAAATGACTAACAGTATAAATTCTGCATATCTCTTGGTCTAGTTCAGACAGCATGTTCATGTAGCTCTGTATTGTCAATGCTTTTAATGATTGATATTAGTAAATATTCAAATTATTAGAGATCTTAGATTTCTAATTTTCATAAGCTACAAGTCATATTCATCTACATTAGAACAAGAAAAGGCTTGAAATATTTCACTTTATGTGTAATGAGTGTGGAATATATTAAATGTTCGGTTGCATAAATAACTGATGGAAAATATGAACTTTTTCACAATGTGATTTTTTAAGATGCACTAGTACACTGTAGGAACGTTCTGGGGGCCCCAGTACCATCCTTGTTGTTGTACATTTTTCTTATTTCTGAAGGCCAGTAATTAACAATTTGGCCTCTGCTGGAGACATGCAGTCTCTTGGATCTGCTGTAAACACTTTTGTCTGTGAGAAATGTATTTTTGGAGATAATGAAGTTTCCATAATTGGCATTAACAGATGGAAAACTAGAAAGGGAAAGTTGTTGATAATTAGATGCAGACAGTGGGCTGGGTTCATGTGGGGTATTTTGTATCTGTCCATTTCAGAGATTTAATTAGTCCTTATTTAGTCTAAATATGCTGCTTCCTGTGAAGTCATGAGGAGGGAATGGTGTCGTACAGAAGGAGGTGGAGACGTGCTACATGTACAGCTGATAGAGAATAGTACTTTTTTCTTTTCAGAAACGCAACATAATTTAGTGGCATTTGACAGTGTCAGCAGTATTAAGGTCACCTGGTTGCAAGAAGGATGCTCAGATAGAGGCAGCAGCACTCTCTTTCCTCACCTTTCTTCCTGTGGATACATGGGAGTCTGTGTTTCCAGTAACTTTCAGCCACTGGTGATGTTATACACACAGACCTTAACATGAAAGGGTTTTGCTTTGGCGTCAGTGTGGCAAAATAAAGAAATATGAGAAAAGATTTGAGGTTAGGGCTGCATGGTGGTTAGCACTGTCGC